GGGGGGCACCTGGTGTGGCCAACCAGAATTCAGGGTGGGGGCGGTGCCACCCTGGACACCATGTAAACATGCCCCTGGCTGCGGGAGCAGGCGGCAATGGTCAGGGATTCAGCGGGAGCAAGATTAAGAAAACAGCCAAATCCCGGACATTTTGGGCGATTAAGAAATCCCGGCAGGACACATTTTTTAGGTCCAAAAAGAGGACATGTCCGGGGAAAGGAGGACGTCACCTTACAATAATTACTGTATTTGCATTATTGTAAGGGGTAGGTTTAGGGTTGGGGTAGGCGTAGACGTTAATAAAACACAATCTAATAGGTAGCAAATTAGCAGCCAATGGAAATTAGCTTCTATATCAGTGCATGTCCTGCTCCTCACAGCACAGATCGTGAAAGCAGACTGCAGTTTTTGTTCAGTGCTGAGTCATTCAAGCTCATATCCTCTCATTATAACAAACAAAGTGTAGACACGATGTAAATAATAGATTCTGTGTGCAGTGTAGAGAGCTTCATTAATTATAATATAATTGCAAATGTTTATGCAAAACTATTAAATATAATCCATAAATCATGCAATACTGTACCACTAAATAAGAAGTGTTTTGCGGGTTTAGCTAATCAGGCCAATTAGAGACAATTACTAATCATTCTAATTTTTTAATTAAATCATTCTTTCATCTCTATGGAAGTTCTAAGCGGCCATGTATTATTATATAATTTTTTTCTTTCTTGTTTTCTCGTGATCACAACTTAATTTTCTTGTGATCTCGACATAACGAGAGTTGTTTTCTCGTTATCAAGACTTAATTTTCTCGACATAACAAAAGTTGTTTTCTCATGATCTCGACATAACAAGAGTTGTTTTCTCGTTATCTCTACTTAAAACCAGTTTTCCCACGACGTAATTGTAGCTATCGCAAGAAAACCTTGTGAATGCATCTGGCGAATATCATGGTGTAGCCTATGCGCTGGCAGCTGAAATCTCCATCATAAAGCTACTAATTTCCTGCAGAAAATATGGACTTTATCTCTGCATTGAGAGAGAGGGGTGTCCCCGAGGAGAACCTGACAAAAATGGAGGAAGATATGTTACTTGTTAAGATTCTAGATTAACAGGAGGTTTGCTACAGTATTCCTGTTTTATGGTTATTGAAATGTTCACATGTTTCATAGCCACTGTTTTGAAAACTAGTAAGTTCTAATGTTAGCTGGATGTAGGGCTGTCGCAATTCGTCGATTTTATTCGACTATTCGATTTTTAAAAATCCTCGACTTCATTTTGCTCGCATCGACTAACCGGCAAAATACCGAAAGTGGCGCATTTCACGGACGAGAATCCATAAAACACATTATTAGACTGTTTCCCAAGGCTGCTGGTATATTAAACCGATTTAAAAATCATAATTAAGCATAATTGTGAATTCACAAAGGCTACAAGTTAATTAAATAATTATATGCAATGCCATTCTAATACAGTATGGCTTTAATTATTTACATGAGTGTAGGTTAAGTACATGCGTCACACAGTTCCATAGAAACTGTTATCATTTACATGTGTGGAGCGTCTCAAACTCCATCTCTGCATGTTGTTGTGAGTTTGGGTTTATTATAACTTAATCTGGGATCACAACGTGTGCCATTTCATCAGATTTGTAAGGTAAATCATTTATAAATCTACGCAAAGGTTTTGTTCCATTTTCATTTTTCTATACTCTTGTTTTAATGCTTAAATAAAATTTTATTAATCAAAAAGCCTGTCTAATTAATTGAGTTTTACAGTTTTATCTTTACCAAATTCTGTTTTCCATTATTTTCTGGATTCTATTTTAATGGTTCCATTAAATTTTAATAATCAAAAGCATCTCCAATTAATTGATTTTATTTAAAAAAAAAGCTTTTTTTTCTTTTTCTTTCAGAAATACTGCACATTTACATTTTTCTCCTAAATAAATTCTGGTAAATAACATTTCTGGCAAATACTCCTTTAAAAAGTGTTATTTATTATAATTGTATTATTAGTAGACTAGAACACGTGGATATGTTGTCATTCTTACACTTTGATTTCAGTGATTTGGACTATGAGATGGATGCACTTTACTTTTGCTTTAAAAAAAGGATTTCATAGAAATTTGGATTTAATTTGGTTTAATAAAATATAGTTTAATAAAATATTCTTAAGTAAAATTGTTGAATTTTTTTGCGGGAAATTAATCATTTAGATTAATCGATTAATCGATAAATTAGTTGATAGATTAATCGAAATAAAAATAGTCGTTAGTGGCAGCCCTAGCTGGAAGCAGAGCCGATCCTCCCTATATGCAAAATACGCAAGGGGCCCCCTTGCTCTCAAAGATGATTTAATTTTAGTTTTGTTTTTGAATTTGGCCTGCGGTTATGAAAACATAAAATATAATTTCTTTTAATGCGGTGCTCTGTCGCGCTTTCTACGTAAAAATCAGTCAAATTATGTAATGTGAATGTCGTACAGTCTTGCTCAAGACTAAAGAAACGAGTTGAAAGCATACCGAGACACTGTTTCTAAGCGCTTTCCGCGAGCGCGATTCGAGACGGAGTGAAACACGGACAAATGCGTTTCATTCATTCGTTCATAACCACTCATACCCCACTCCACGCCCACACCACGTGATACAATACCAACAAGTCCTCCAACCCCTATGACCGTATAGGTCGTTTGTCACTATCCTCAAATACGACTCATAAGAGCATTTCCTAAATTAGCGCCCCTACCGGCAACAGGAGATATGCTACAGAAACTTTCGCCTAAATGCATTGTGGGTTTCTTTTAATATGTTTGCTATTTGCGTTTTAAACTGTGTTTTAAACTCTCCCAGCTGTTCGAAATGTTTTATTGCTAAAAAGGATTTTAGATGACTTCAAGACACTTAACGTTACATGTAGGGTTTCCACCCGTCTCGTAAAGTAGTAAATCGTCCCGTGTGTATGAATTAAATTATGTGGTGTTTTAAATCGATACTGGACACTGTTTGTCCCATTCAACCTGTTTGACGTTTAGATCATTCAATCGGACCCCGCCAGCATTATAAAGTTAGTTTTCATTGTGATATTCATTTGAAATTCGCCTGTGGTGGAAAGGGATCATGTAAAAGTCCACGTATTTACCATGTTTTTACCATAGTAACATGTAGTTCAACCATGTCATGTGTAATAAAACCTCAGTAACCAAAACACATATCATGTATCTCCCGTCGTAACTGTAGTTTTGGTAACACTTTATTTCGATAGTCCACTTTAGACATTTTACTAACAGTAAGTAACTTTGCAACTACATGTCAACTAGCAGTCATTAGAGTATTAGTAGACTGTCTGCTTAATATCTTCTAACACTTTATTTTGATGGGTCAACAACATACAACATACTGACTATCAGAAACTTTGCAAGTATATGTCAACTTATCCTACTAACCCTAAACCTACCCTAACCCTAACTCTGAGAGTTAGTAGACATGTAGTTGCAAATTAATTAGAATTAGTTGACATGTAGTTGACATGTAGTTACAAAGTTACTTATAGTTAGTAGAATGTCTAAAGTGGACTATCAAAATAAAGTGTAACCGTAGTTTTACTTTGGTATTTGCAGTTAAAACACGGTACCATGCTTTTACATGTGTACCGTTTATTGTGTACTCTTTAGTTAAAGAACAGTAACACAACAAAACATGGTTTTACCAGAATAACTGTATCTACTGTGTACTATTTATATACTATGATTTTACAATAGTAACGTTAACTGTTAGTACGTTAGTAAAGTTAACTAACGTTACTGTGTACTATTTGTAGTTAAAGCAGAGTAACACAGCACTTATCATGGTTTTACTACAGTAGCGTAGTTTTAATGTGGTATTAGTAATTAAAGCACATTAACACAACACTTACAATGGTTTTACCACAGTAACGTAGTTTTAATGTGGTATTTGTAGTTAAAGCACAGTAACACAACACTTGCCATGGTTTTACCACAGTAACATAGTTTTAATGTGGTATTTGTAATTAAAGCACAGTACGCACATCACTTGCCATGGTTTTACCACAGTAACGTAGTTTTAATGTGGTATTTGTAGTTAAAGCACAGTAAGCACATCACTTGCCATGGTTTTACCACAGTAACGTAGTTTTAATGTGGTATTTGTAGTTAAAGCACAGAAAGCACTAAGCACATCACTTGCCATGCCTTTAATACCTTTTTGTAATGTAATTGTAATTCAATGTTTTTTCTGTCTTGCAGTTTCTTCAGATCACATACATCTCCATCTCCTACCCACAGTAACGTAGTTTTAATGTGGTATTTGTAGTTAAAGCACAGAAAGCACTAAGCACATCACTTGCCATGCCTTTAATACCTTTTTGTAATGTAATTGTAATTCAATGTTTTTTCTGTCTTGCAGTTTCTTCAGATCACATACATCTCCATCTCCTACAACTACATTTAGTATCCAGCAGCTCTTTATGAAGCCATTACTCTCTCTCTCTCTCTCTCTCTCTCTCTCTCAGATTTTCCTTGCCTATTATTCTGAACTGTGATTCATAATTCAGTTACACATATTTTTCTTTCTTCCTTTCTCTTGTTCATCATGGCATATTTTCAAAGCTCAGAATCAAATTTTGATCAGTAATGTCAGGAAGCTGCTAGTATTAACAGGGAACTTGAACTCGAAGCTCAATGCTGAACTTGAAGAAGTTGCCAGGGAAGCTGAAGTCCTTCAAAGGGTCAACACTTCACTGGTAATGTTGAAGACATTTAGTTATAACTGATTTACTTTAATTCATTTATCCTTACTTTATGTGTTAATAACCTTCCTTATAGTCCTTCCTTTCAAATATTTTGTCAAATATACTGTCTCAACATGTATGTATTAAAACAACAACAACATTTTCTTTTTTCTTTATTTCAGCTGAAAAGGAAGACCAAAGGAGGGCCTGTCAAACTCTTGACAAACCCGTCTTGTTTGTGGAGAGGGATGAATTTAACCATCTTGTGCATTTACGGAGAAGACCAAAAGCTGCAAAGGCAAACATTTCCAATGGTACGTTGGTCTGAGCACCATGACAGTACTTTACTATAGTTACATTTTGCACCGCATTTGTTGTTTCTTAAACTTTTTTACATACCCCACGACCCCATCAGTACGAACCCTGTGCTACGTCAAAGTAGTAATTATTCATGCAATTTCAGCAAATTCATATGATATTGTACAAGTGTACTCGTGCAAAAATTCTACGGCTTTTACTCCTGCTGTCATTGGCCATTGCCTCAACTCTCATGCAGATTGTGCCCATTGTAAGTAGTCAGAGTGTTTGTATCATAAAGTTTATATTGAGTCCATTGTATTCTTTATTAGCCTTTACAAATTGGTGCCGTCTCTTCCCGTTCTAACAGTATGTTGGGGAAGCTACTCTGAAACTGTAGCTTGACCAGCTACAAGCTACTCATAAATTAAAGTAGTTAAGCTACATTCAAGCTACCCTTCTGAAAAAGTAGCTAGCTACACTACAAGTTACTGTCAAAAAGTAGCTAGCTACATTGAAACTACATTCAATTTTTTTTATTATTATTATTATTTTTTTTTTACAATTAACAAGACAAATAACTAAATAATTATTAATGAAAAATTATAATGAAGTTATAAGTAAAATATTTGGGGTTTAAAACAACATACTGAAATGCAATCATGATTTCAAAGAGTAGGATGAATTTAGGTTGATTGGGACACTTTTCCATTTCAATGACAAAAAGTGTCCCAAGCATTTGATTTTGTAAACTATTCGATACACACAATAATAAAACACTGTATTGTTAAATAGTTGTTTTAGTTATATTAATATATTGCTACAAACATCAATGCAAGAACAAAATGTATGCAACTTAAACTGGATACGGAGGAGTCATAAAATAAGCAGGTTAAACTCACAGCACATGCGGTATTTACTGACTGTGAATGGAGACGTCAATCATCAGCTGCGCGCGTGAACACTGCGCTTTGCGTGAATCCCGCCGCAACCATTTTTTGCCAAATGATAAGCACACTACTATATTGTGATTTTATTTTCTGTTCGATTAGTGTTCGTTACAAAACTGTGGGGGGGCAGATTATATTATGAATTATAAAAATAATTAATAATAGTATTATTAAAATAGACATTTGATCTGGAGTGCAATAAAGAAGAAAAAATAATCAGTTTAAAAAGGCTATTGTTCACCTCTTGTATGTGCTTTAAGTCTTTGACGTAGACCGCATTTTAATCTTGGTTTTGCGTAAATAACAGTTGATTCATGTGATATCCACTCCTGTACATCCTTTGCAATATCATCAGACGATCTCTTGTAGGTGGACAGACTGTAAAGCCGCGCGATGCGTGATATCACAACAGATGGCGGTAATGAACAAATTTAGTTTGTGATCTAGTCAGAAAAAGACGCTGCTGCTTCAATGCATTACAGCCTCGTGACTCGTCAGAACGCAAAACGGAATGTACCACTACTTGCTGGAAAAAGTAGTTAGCTACAGGAAAAGCTACAATGTTTTAAAAGTAGCGTCGCTACTGTAAAGCTACTGAAAAATGTAGTTACGTTAGTAGCGTCGCTACTTGTAGCTAGCTATTCCCCAACACTGCTGTCCACACTTCAGAGTCTGCCTTTCTTTCCATGTTGATTTTTATTGAACACATCTGTCTAAAAAGCAAGTCTGGACATGCTAGTTTAACATGTCATGTGACTCATCAGATCTTCAGTTAATTTGGCCAAATTAGATCACTTAAGTCTGCTCACACCAACTATAATACCTATTTTAGCATCGCCAACAGACGATAAAGTTCTGTTTACAGTTATACACGCTGCAGTTATGTTGTTGTCTGCCATTTGTTGTCAATGTTATTATTGTTCATCATGTGATAAATTCTCTTTTTTCCTGTCTTGCAGGATTTCTCACAGATTACTTAGTCCTTCTCCATCAGCTCTTCACAATATCAAACCCAATGGCCGGAACCAGCCCTTCCAAAATCTGCTCTCGACCCTTTACTGCCAACTTCCAGTCTTAGCATGTCTACTTGTATTAATTTCTCCTCTAGTCAACACTCCCATCTTTACTGTGAACACTCCCGTCACTATCACCATCCCACCTAGTGTATTCTACATGACAAATAATTAAAAATGGTAATGTAAAAATGATACAAATGTTTCTTTCTTTTTAACATTATTTAATTAATTGCATCAACTTAATGTTATTGAATTGCATATTATGTTTATGTGTGTGTGTGTGTGTGTGTGTGTGTGTTTGAAACCTTTAAGGTCATTTAATGATAGAAATGCATTTTCCTGCTGAAAACGATTTATAAAATTATAATTGTTATTAACAATTTTAGTTTGTCTTGAATTTATTTTTTTATTTCGCTTCTTATAACATTATCTGTAAACAAGTTAACCATTTTTTAATTTATTTTTTATTTTTTGAATATTAGCCAATGTTGTTTTAAAGGGGTTTTCTGTTACATATTTCTGTGTGTACCTATTAATTACTTTATCGATCAGTAATTTTTTAAGTTGTTATATTTCACTATAATTTATTATTTTTATAATAACTGCTTTTTTGTTTTTATTTCTTCATAGTGGCACAAACTGGAGAGAGAGAACGCTGTTATGGGCACTATGTTTGTCTCTGAAAAGTTTGACATGTCAATAAACACTGATATGGAAATGACTACAAATGTGTGCAATTTTTATGCCTGTATTTTTTATTTTATTTATTTATTTTTATTCCTTTAGTTCAGCTGGTAGAGCTAAGAATGGCAAGATTGGACATACATTTCCAGGAAACACAAAAGTGATTAAATGTATACATTTAATACACTATAAATTTATTTTTTTATACAGTATATGCAAAAACGTTGAGCTTAAATATTGTACATTAATTAATATTAGTGTAAAGCATGTATACAAATGGAAATATTAGGTCCTTGTTTGAAAATAAATAACTGTAATCAGCAAATCTATTGCTGAATCAGGTTTACCCCACAATGCGAATCTGTCGTTTTAGTTTTATATTTAGTGGGGGAAAATAAACTGAATCTTTCCATTCACCACAAGAACCTGGAAGATCCTGTTATAAATTACCATATATGGACAAGTAAGTGTGACGCTTCTGCTCAACTGCATTGCCATTGGCTTTGAAGTTCCCTTGGCACTCGCAGGACACGCTGTGATTAGACTTTCTTTTAACCCAAATTAAAAAATGCTTACTGTTGCAAAGTATGTTTTGCTGTTATTATTACGTCAGTAATACCTTCAGTTAAAAATGCAGTGTTGCTATATTGTGAGAAATGACCACTTTACTGAGATCCTAACCCTAAGCATAACTTCATTGAACTACAAATAACAGCACCATGTTTTTCATGTTCCATCGATGGCAGAGGCTTATGAATGGCAGAGACTTATGGGTAATGTAGTTTAAAATGTTTAATAATGAAATGGGGAAAAGTACTATCTCTTTTGAACAAAGGGATATCTAAGCATGTTCATTGTGCAAACATCTATGACATATTTGAGAGGCAGGCTGAATTTTGGTATTTTACTAAGAGCACTTTTTAAACACCTTTATACCACCTTTCTATGTATGTTTGAAAACTGTGTCCAACATTATTTAGTCAACATTGCCAATTTTCTCTTTGACACTATAAACAGATTTTGATTTACAGCCATTTGAAATGTTCAAATTGTTTTGCTCTTCCAGAGGATTCTACTGGGCCTCTGGGGATGGAAGAGCAGGTAAAAAATACACAGATCTATTCTTATCATGGATAACAAACTGTGTTGAGTCACATTTTTTAGATTGTCTTTTCAAAAAGTTGCTATATTGTGAGAAATGACCACTTTACTGAGATCCTAACCCTAAGCATAACTTCATTGAACTACAAATAACAGCACCATGTTTTTCATGTTCCATCGATGGCAGAGGCTTATGGGTGAGGCTTATGAATGGCAGACACTTATGGGTAATGTAGTTTAAAATGTTTAATAATGAAATGGGGAAAAATACTATCTCTTTTGAACAAAGGGATATCTAAGCATGTTCATTGTGCAAACATCTATGACATATTTGAGAGGCAGGCTGAATTTTGGTATTTTACTAAGAGCACTTTTTAAACACCTTTATACCACCTTTCTATGTATGTTTGAAAACTGTGTCCAACATTATTTAGTCAACATTGCCAATTTTCTCTTTGACACTATAAACAGATTTTGATTTACAGCCATTTGAAATGTTCAAATTGTTTTGCTCTTCCAGAGGATTCTACTGGGCCTCTGGGGATGGAAGAGCAGGTAAAAAATACACAGATCTATTCTTATCATGGATAACAAACTGTGTTGAGTCACATTTTTTAGATTGTCTTTTCAAAAACATCCCATTATGTACGTTGTAAGTCATAAGTTATCTTAGAATAAAGACACCAAAAAAATTTACATCAGTGCCCATTTGGAATGGACTATTTATTTCATTAGATCAAGAGCAATAATACAGTGCTGACAGTAAACAAAGACAACAAATACATATTGTGACACTTCATTGTACTATTACACAAGGCCAATGTGTCATTCAGTAAGACATTATGTGACAGTGTGCAGTTTATGGTGCAAAAGCCATACAATTCATGCAATGCAAAGAATCATAATATAAAAGACCTAATTTGTAAATCTCTGTAAAAAAAATGTCTCATCTTTGTCCTCCTCAGGTGCTAAACATCAGTAATGTGCATGATCATCATTATAACACAGAACAGGATTCATGTTGATCTTTCCCTTGTTCATCACGCTCAGTTGTGCATGAAGTGCCTGCAGCAGTATAGTCCATGCAGTCTCTTCTAATGCAGCTTTCAGCCTGCCCTTCATCTATCTGAATGTCATTAATATGTCGAAATGTTCATGTCTTAATTAAAACAATCATGGTAATTATATGTATTGTTTACTAAATTAAATGGTGTATTTACCAAACACCATCCCTAATACACCATACTTTATTATCCAACACCATGTACAATACTTTACTAGGATACAGTGTAAAGACAGATAAAGTAGCATATTAAGACAAATGATATGCAAGTGAAATAAAAATGGATTATGTTAAAACCATATTATTTTAATCAGATGAAGCAACCCAAATGCATGGTGAAATGTCTTGAGCACCAAAGAATCGCATCCAGTTTCCTGCTCATCTTCGGAGCTCTCCTGGTTTTCTTCAAATCCATGTCCCTATCATAATCTTCTTCCATGTCATAAACAATTTGCAATTGTTATCCAGCACAACAGTACAACTGATGAACAAAAGACATGTGACCAATTCAAATTAAATCACTTTATTATCACAATACCATGAACGCAAGTATACATGTGGAGAAATGCTTTTGTGCAAACTCTGCAGCATGACAAGTATGGTGACAAGTATTGAATATATTTGCAACGGGGGGCCAGTTATCCTCTGGTCAGACGAAACCAGCAGTTCAATTCGAGGTTGCAGCAATGTCACATTGTGCAGAGGACTCATCTGGTTCCTGTGGTCTTGTCCCGGTGTGACAGTATGGATGACAAGTATTGAATATATTTGCAACACATATACAGTATTAAAAATATACACAGTATACATAAGGACTCAATACAGGTAGGAAATAATATATGGTGCAATATTATACTGTACAGAGAACACAAAATGAAAACAATAATAAACAATAATCACCGTATACATATAACTTTGCAGTGCAGCACGGTATGCCTCCCGGACAATGTTAGGTAGGTTATTCCAGAGTTTGGGCGCTAAATAGGAAAAGGATCTGCTGCACACAGTTGATTTTGATATTCTAGGTATTATCAAATTGCCAGAGTTTTGAGAATGCAGCGAACGTGGAGGACTATAATGCAATAAGAGCTCGTTCACATACTGAGGTGCTAAACCATTCAGGGATTTATAAGTAATAAGCAATATTTTAAAATATATACCAGGGTTTCTCAAATCTTGCCCTGGAGGGCCAATGCGCTGCAGAGTTTAGCTCCAACCCTAATAAAACTCACCTACCTGTGATTTTCTAATGATCCTGAAGACACTGATTAGCATGCTCAGGTGTCTTTGATTAGGGTTAGAGCTAAACTCTGCCAGAAAGTGGATCTCGTGGGAAAAAGTCCAGTACTAGGATTTTGGAAAACCAGTGCTGGATCCCTCCCTCAACTAGCCAAGGTCGCCCGCAAAATCTTCAGCATCCCCAGTGGTTCTTCCAGCGCTGAGCGAGTGTTTTCTGCCGCTGGATTGCTTTCCCGGGCACACCGAATGAGCCTGAAGCCTGACGCTTTGTCCAAGCTAATGTTTCTTAAAGTAAATTCTAATATCCAGTAGACATTCCCCGCAGTTATGGTCTATTTTAACTTGACACTAGAAAGTGTTTCTTTCATTTACGTCAGTTCATAATCCAAGCGTTCTTTAAGTGCATTTTATCTTGTGTGTGCTTTTCACAGGCTTTATAATCCAGGTGTATTTTGTAAAGATCTACGCACATTTCATCTCGCGTGTGTGAGACTTTTTCAGTTTTTGCATTTTAGGTAGGTTTGCTAAGGTTAGATTCATATATTTAATACATTTTAATTAATACATTACAATTAATAAAATTAAGAAGAATATAAGAATTTAGCTCTGAAACATGATAATTGCTATTTATAAGCATGCTTAATTTTAGACAATTATCCAAGAATTTCGGTACAAACAGTAAACAATTAGGCCTACTAGAGAAATTTTATGTCAGAGCTGGATCTGAGCGGGAATTGGTTTACGGCGAGCGTGAGCGGAATATTAACGGAGCGCTTGCTTGGGCGGTTAGAGCGACTGAGTGGAGCGCACATCCATAGAGCGGAAAACGTAGCGGAGCGTCATACCGCTCCGCTTCGCTCACATGCTCTGGTGAGAACACAGGGAGAAACCGGTTCGACACGCAGGCTATAGAACCTAGCGAACGTGTTCCAGTCACCCAGCCCACAGCTCTACAAATGTCTGCTAGCGAGGCACCACGAGCCAGCGCCCAGGACCGATGCGACACCCCTAGTGGAGTGAGCACGCAGCCTGAGCGGGCAAGGGCGCACCTTGTGCTTTGTAGGCCAAGGTGATGGCATCCACTATCCAGTGGGCCATCCTCTGCTTGGAGACAGCCTTCCCCTTCTGCTGTCCTCCGTAACAGAAAAAGAGCTGAAAGGGGTGGTTGGAACCTTGGGCACGAAGCCGGGCCGGGGTCTCAGTGTTGCACTGGAATCAGCCGGTCCAAACTCAAGGCACGGGGTAGGGAGGGAGGCCTAGGAGGATTTAACCTCCTGGCCCCCCTAAGAAACCTGACGACCAAATCGTGCTTCCCCACAGACCTCCCCTCTACGGGGTCGTGATGGGCAGAAATAGCAGCAATGTAAACCTTGAGAGTGGCGGGGGACACCTGGGGTAGGTCACCTAGAACCTCCGCGTCCCATCCCGGGACCACACATGGAGTTTCCATAGTTCTGGACGCGGGTGCCAAAGGTTGCCCCGTCTCTGAGAAAGCAGATCCTTCCTCAGAGGAATTGGCCAGGGAGGGGCTGTCGCGAGGAGCATCAGTTCCGGGAACCAGGTCCTGTTGGGCCAATATGGAGCCACTAACAAGACCTGCTCCTCGTCCTCCCTGA